ACGCACGGACGGACGCATGGACGCACACAGGGCAAAACATAAGTCCCCGTTTTCGGACTCCGTCCGAACGGGGACTAATTAGAGAATTGAAGGTACCGGTATCATGAAATGAACAAATCTAAGAGAGGTCTACCCGAAGTACACATACACCAAGTATCAAAGCATTCAAGCTTTTAGTTTCCAAGAAGAAGTTGAAAAAGTAAAACATTGACAGGGACGACGGACAATCACTCATATGATAAGCTCCGCTCGACAAAGTCGACAGCAGGGCTAAAAATTAGAGAGTTGAAGATATTAATGCGAAATGAACAAATCTAAGAAAGGTCTGCCTACACCAAGTATCAAAGCATTCAGGCTTGTAGTTTTCAAGAAGAAGTCGAAAAATAACAAGCCATGCATAGCTCAGTCCCCGTTGTCAAATTTAGGATATATAGTTTTGTTTATAGTAATATACATGTAGTTGGAATATAACCATGTCAGGGATGTGATTATGATGATTGTTTAACATTAAAATGATTAAAATTTGTATCTGATCCAGGGATGAGAATGAGAATTTTAATTTTCAGCTGAAAGTAAAGTAGCCGGGGTTTGAGAATCGTAATTGATCAAATCATTACAATACAGAGACTGTGCCTTTCCTGGGACCTCACACTTGCCGATGAAGTCACTCAATTTTTCAGTTACCACTTCATCTTTTTTTCTGATTCGCACGGTCAAAGTCACTTCCTTGTCAAGCCATGCCCAACGAAATTTGTTCCTAATGTCTGTATCGATCTCTCGAACAACTGACACATCTTTTGTAACCAATTTCACCATTATCGCTGCATGAAACTTGTAAACAACGATCCAACGCAGCTAACAATTGAAACAATAAAATGGCGCCATTGGTGAAAATAAAATAAAAGCTCTTCACTAATTGGCCCCTCAGAGCAAACCCAGCCAATCATGTTAATCGTTACATATTACTCTGAACAATTCGAAGCAACTTCGGATTTTATGATTGTACTGATGAAAAGAGTCGCGAACATTCTGCATTGGAGACACTGCGAGTTGTCTCCCTTCGACCATACACTGATACAGGCCTCTTGCAGCCGACAACAGTGACCCGACAGCGTGTTTACTTCCAGTGAATGAACAAGATTTGTATTCTTACCCACCCTAAAATTTTCTCTTGGGATTTAGACGTTTCAGAAAATCGATTCCTGGGGCTTAGAAATCCGCGGATCAAACGAGTACTTGTCCACATTGAGAAATATTGCTCTCGAACAGCATTAATTATTAAAAACAAAATCAGCCATTTTGAATACATGTATATATCTATAATTCGATGAATGAATATATAAAATTTGAAAATAATCAGTCAAAGCATGTCTGAGATATGGCTCTAGAAGCCCATCCATTAAAACAAAATGGCCGCCAGTCAGCCATTTTAAATCCAATCTGAAAAATAAAATGACATGTAATGTCTAATGTATGTACCAAGTTTGATGATTTTTAGCACAAAAATGGCCACCATTTGGCCATTTTTAATAGGATCGTCAAACCAATATATCTGCGTATATCTATGACATGATGTATAATGAATATTTAAAATTTCATTAGTCAAAGCACTAGAACCACATTCATTCAAACAAATAGCCGCCAGTCAGCCATTTTGAATCTTGCATCAAGGTCCTATAATGTCCAATGTATATACCAAATTTGAACAAATTCCATCTGTAAACAGCTGAGAAATGCTTAATTTTGATGATTTTTCAGTACAAAAATGGCTGCCATTTGGCCATCTTAAATCAGATTAGATGTCATGTATGATGCATGTGTGAAGTTTTATTGTGATTGGTCCAAGCATTTCTAAGATACAGGTCTGGAAGCATGCATGCACGGAAGCACGGACGGAGGTCAAAACATCAGTCACCGGACTAAAAAGTTGACATGGATGTGGAATGCCGACAGACAATCACCCATATGACAAGCTCCATTCGACAAAGTCAACAGGAAAGCTAAAAATCTGATAAACCAGTCTCCCCTATTTTAACAAAAGGGGAAGCAGACCATGTGTCTGGTGTGCCCACTCAAGCAAACAATGGCCTCCAGGGGTACTAAGCACCAAATATACGCATGCCAAGCAGAGAAAAAACAGCAGTTGCCAGTGAGTTGTGCCACATTTTCCAGATGGGTTTTACCGTCGTTGTAACGACACACATTGGATTAACTTTTAATATAGTTGATTTAACTTTTAATATAGTTGTGATATGAACTTAATTAAAACGCGTTCCTATATAGAGTTGCGTTTTAATTGGAGTTTAATTAAACTCAATTACAATGCAATACAACGTAGAATTGCGTTTTAATTAAGTTTAATTAGAGTAGCAGCCTGTCGGCTGAGATAGCTCTGCTGTTATCAATGCACATTGCAATTAAAGAACAGAAGATATCATTAGAAAATGAACAATATGTATAGTATTAATAAAAGCAATCAGACTTTTTATAACTTTTTATCAAAAATATTCATAATTGAAGAACAAAATCATCA